ACACACACACACACACACACACACATAAGCACACATAGATGTACATTTACATTTGTAGATAATGTATTAAAATAACCGAATATTTGGGGGGAAAGTAATCGGCTAAAGATAGGATCACCATGGCGCTGAGGTCTTGGGCTTGTTGGCAGGCTGTTTTCTCTGAATATAATTTGTTTGAAATCGCTTTCGCAATTTGGTTGTGCTTTCAAGCACGAGTCTCGGACTGTATCCTCTGCCATGGTGGACGTGGCCTCTTCCAGCATCGGGCCAGTGACGCATCACCGGAATCATAGTTGTTATCGTCAATGCGAAGGGCAGTCATGAACTCAGTGGAAACGAGATTACTTTTCTGCTCTACACGCAAGTTTTCAAGCTACCAGTAGACCATATTTTTGAGATGTATTCACTTTTGATGCGTTCAAGGCGATAGGAGGACTGGTAATTTAATTTTCACACACTGACGGAATTTCACATTGCCTCGCTTTCGCAGAAGGTGTTCCCAGCCAGGATGGACCGCAGTTTCCAGCTCGCCTGGGCCTTATCGACACCCCCAGCGGGAGTCGAACCGTGCAATCTCAACACGACAACCATTACACTACATTGCCACCAGTGCTCTTGGGTCACAGGACAGAGGGGGATTTCAAAGAAGGCCAGGTATTTTCCCATAGCCTATTTTTGAGGTGGGATTGCCGATAAAACAAAGTGTCATTTGCTATGGGAATCGACTGCATTACTCATAACCTATACATCTACTGATGGACTCGACGGCCCACTTATGAACTAAAAAGAAGTAATGTAGTCGTTAGTCATAGCAAATATGACTTTGCTTCATCGACACCTCCATCACAGGATGCGATGTGGCAAAATGTCCGGCCTTGCGTAAAATTCACATCTGCCCTGTAACCTAAGGTTACGTCAGTGCTCGAGTCCAGCTGCGGCTGTTGCTAAAGCCTAAACGAGGCCGAAACTGCAATCCAATCTGGCCGGGATGAGGATACCTGTTGGGAGGTAAGGTTATGTGAAATTCAATGGAAATGTAAAGAATACTCTTATGCTTATGGCTGTCTTCTATCTACGAATAAAAAGCGGATTCCGATTAAGCCTTTGGGATAACATTGCTATTATACATGTTGAGCTTACTTTCATTTCGAGTGGAAGAGATTCGAAGCTCGGTTCCACCAGAAGACCAGCTGTCGATTGGCTTTACTGCAACATTCATGCTGACGCTGTTTCCGAGGCAATCCCCTTCGATTCCGGTGACCTACCAATCTCTTCACGAAACACTTTCACTCGAAATGGAAGTAAGCTCAACAATTATGAAACAAGAGATTCCTCGAAACCTAACTTTTCTTCATATTTATTTGCACAGCTCACCTTCCACTCGAAATGGAAGTAAGCTCAACAATTATGAAACAAGAGATTCCTCGAAACCCAACTTTTCTTCATTATACCTTGCAACGATGATCAGCCCATCAGGCGAGTGCCCCCAAAAATGTCCATTCACACATGAACACACACACACACACACACACACACATATCTGAATGTGTGTGCGTACACACGCGCAATCACACACAAATTAAGTAATTGACTAAATGGATGTAGATACACACACACACACACATGCATAGACACACGAGAAAAAGCCAATCTTTGCTCAACTCCGTCGTGGCTCGTTCTATTGTTGGGCTTATTTCCATTTCGAGTGGAAGTGTTGCGTGAAGAGATTCGAAGGTCGGTTCCACAAGAAGACGACGGCGGATTCCTCTTGACCAGCTGGAAGATTCATGCTGACGCTGTTTCCGAGGCAACCTCCTTCGATTCCGGTGAACACGTGCTGAGCTTTTGTCCGTCACATGACGAACATCG